TGTATTAAGGGTACAGAAAATAAATGCTGAAATACAGTAATCCTTTGGATTTCCATTCTTTTATCAAAAAGAAGGGGATTATATGCTGCAGATAGATATATGTACTGTACAGAAGCTATACTAACATACATTTATTCTTGATAAAAATGATACATGTTTGATAAATTGGGGGAATAAAATTTCTTTTATCTTTGATTTGTGAACAAAAACATTAGCTCCCGTAGTACTACTGGTTCTGTTCACCAGTCAACAGACAATGTGAATCACAAGTCTTTTCTGGCTCAAAAGCTTTTAGAAGTTGTTAAAGGACAGACGTTTTTTAATACCTTTGGTGATTTTTTTTAACTTCATTCTAAAATTTCATTGAAAAATACAGATTAGTGAATACATATGATGCAAGATTGCTTTGCTGGTTCATCGAGTACATTGTACTGTGATATAATAAACAAAATTATACAGCCACTACTGCTTGCAAAGCAGCTCATTCACTCTCTTGCCCTCCCGAACCAGAATAGATCAAAAGTCAAAAGGTTTTTTCTTCATTGAGTGTCACTTCTGTTCAGATGCCCATTTTTCTAATCAGGCACCCTACAGCTAATAATATCCCCTTCTTGTGTAAAGGTTAAGGGAACTGATATTCAAGGAGCCATTAAATCTTCCCTGCACTTAGTGTCTTTTCGGCTAATAAACCAAGACAGCTGTGCCCTAATAGTCCAGCCGCAAGAACTCATGACAGCTATGCTCAACAATTAATTACTGATTCTGTTCAGCCACAGGTTCTCATCAACTATCTGTGCATGGATACATTCTGCTTTTATGTTCACCAGTTTGATTAGGTTGAATTATTCGACAATTACTTCTGTAAATACACTGGAGATCCTTAATATTTGCACATTAGCAGGACAGCTTCATGGGCACATTCATACCTATTGTTTCATTATTTGGAAATGTCTTCATTTTATTTGTTAAAGTTTCAGTGCTTATGACTCAAATCTTTCTTATATGTTAACATACAGCATGAGCAGCAGTACTAAGACTCATAGAGCAATACACAAGGAAATGGCAGTTAGAGGTGGTCCCTCACAGCTCTAGGGTCAAGGGTACAATTCATTCTTTCCTATCTGTGGGGTTTGCATTCTCTCTCATGTAATGTTCTTGCTGGATGCTATACCTTCCTCTTACTACCCAAAGACACAGTGGCTACATTTGGTTGCCTAATCTAAATTGTCCCTTGGTGTGTGTCCCTGTGATGGACTTGTGTCTACTCCAGGGTACAAGCAGGTAGGTAGACTTATTAATGTCTTGTGCTTTGTACATCTGTTATACAGTAGGCTTTTCAGTTTTGCTGTGACCCCCAGAAGAATAAGTGGCTCTTCTAATAACAGATGGATAGAGTAATAGTCATCAACACAAATAATAAAATACATCAAAATAATCTCAGTGATTTTGGTATGGCACTTCTCAATGTCATTAAGAAATAAATGTCAGTGTTGGAATGATGAAAGTTACTGCTGGAAAATTAAGCCTTGAGAGAGCTGTCACATTGTTAAGTCTATACCCAAGGTTTATTTAACATGCTATTATTCCCTCTCATAGCTCTTCCTACTTCTGTGTTTCTGTCATCATTCACACAAATAGCTAACAGGGAAAGATGTTCCTTCTAAAATACTATATAAAGAATGATCGTAATTCTTTGTTCAGAGTTGCTTGCAGCTACAGTATGTCTAAGACTGTTGGAAGGACATTCAATACAAATCCTGGACTAATTATAGATCAACTGAATTAACTGCTGTATATTTCTATATCTCTGTGAAGATGCACTAAAGGACTATAGGCCTGAAAACTGTGTTATGAATACCTCTTTCTGACCAATTTAAACAAAAATGTTACTTCATTGTAAGGTGGCTCAGTGTTAAACTACTGTGTATTTCCATCAGAAAGCTGCTGTATACTGTATGTGGCTCTCAATGCTCACAGTACACAATGGTAGAATGTATTTGGTAAAAGAGAGAAACAAGATCCTAGCAGGATTCTGTGCATTACTGGGGTACTATAAAGGACAAGACACAAAAAATTGACACACCATTTTATGAACAATATCAATAAAGGGCTGGCTATTACTAAAAAAAAAACAACAGAATGTGGTTCTAGACATTCTGCAGATGCCACTGGCAAATAACTTAGCTGTTGTTTGGATTTAAATCAAAGAGCAGAGTTTGCTGTGCCAGCAACAACAACAACAAAAACAAAAAAAAACATCTCTCAATGGTAAATAGCTGCAATTAATGTTTCATTATAATTACAATCACTTTAAACTTTCTGAGATGAAAGAAAGCATCATCAAATGTTTTAGGGGAGATGCTTTTTAATATAAGTTAAAGTCCCCATTTTATCTATCTGTACAGTATACGGTGTACTAAATAGTTGCATATCTCATGTTTCTGCATAGCCCTCTTAAATCATGATGTGCATGGGTGTAATACTTATGACAGATGGAGTTACATGCATTGTGAAAGCAAGGAGGAAAGTGGATGAGAGGGATTTATGCTGTGTTATACAGACTGCTCACTCTATTAAGTTTAATTGGTTTGGGGCTGCACAGCTCTTCATCCTATCAGAAATATAATAACCACACCAAAAAGGTAAAGATAAAAAATGTGCAACAGAATTGATACAGATTTTCTTTCTATGCCACTGACAAAAGACAAGACAATAGCAAAGAATTTTTCAGATTTTTACATTATCTATGTGCAAGAATACAAAGCAGAAGAATTTCTATTTTCAGAATTCTGTGTAAAAGGCTGAACATTTAATATTAATGTTTTTATATGATTTTCAGATGAGAAAACATATGCTGTGGTTGCCCAGTATTTGGCACAAAAAAACAAATGTCAGTGCTAGTACTATCACAAGAAAAAAACAGTGCCTCTTTAGCCTCTAGTTAAGACCATTGATATCTTCAGGGGAATCTGCTCAAATTAATTTATACGTAAGTGAATAATGTACTGTTTGCTAAGGCTGTATTATTAAGCAACAGAAAATATAAAAAAAGCAATGTGATATTAATGACTTCATATGTACTTATCAATACGATTTTAAATACCTTTTAAAGGAGGTTGAACTGCAGCATATAAAATAAATCAAAATAAAAAGTGTTCATGTTGTACACAAGGTAAATAACCGAAAATATTTTTTTTCAATACAATATTTTTAAAAATAACGTTTATTGCACTGTGGTAACATAGCTTTCTAAAAAATGTTATATTTTATATTGATATGTGTATGTGAATCCTTTATTTTCTCAAATATATATTTTAAGAAGAAAAAGACCATCTTTTTACAATTGTACAATCTAAAAATTATACAACTCTTACTCTTACTCTTTGGGATAGCATGAATTTAAAACCTAATTAGAATAATAATTATTATAATTATTGAATGATGCACAAATTAACGGAGAGCTCTGTCCAACTAAATTTGTGTAACTGCCTTGAAAAAAAAAACCCTTAAAACACAGAATGGTAATGAAAAACAGAAGTCAGGGATGTGGAAGCTACAAGCTTCAAGATTGTATTTAACAACCAGCTGTTATAGAACCATATTATTTAAATACGATGTGCTAGAAAAAAAGACATTTCCTCAGCACTATAGGAGCTCGGAAACTTCATTTCTTCAGCTGTCTCTTCATAGTCTCCGTGTTGATGCATGTGGAATAATAGTCTATAATTTACCAAGAGAAGACAGCTTAAATATGCGTTTCTCTGAATTGCTTTGTTATTGTCAACTGCCCTCAGCAGACTGTAAGATTTAAACGTTGTGTGTATCTTGAGATCCCTGCTTGGCCCATGAAAGGCACTACAACTGAGGAAACAGACCAAATCATTTGAAATCCATTTTCACACTGAATGTTTGATTCTGTGGAAAATCAGCAGCTGCTGTCAATTACAAAAGAGATATTTCTTAATTACTCTGTGAGAAGAGGAAGTGGCAGCATTTTGGTCCGTCTGCAAATGAACAGTTTCTTAGTCTTGAGATTATTGTGACGGGAAGAGGAACCCATCATTGAACTGAGTAATTCACACAAATTGTTTCGAAATCATTAAAATGTTTTCCAAAACTGGAAACTTAAATTTAAAAAAAATCATTATTATTATTTAAAATCCTTTGTGCAACATTACTGAAAACAAGCTTTAAAACTGGTGATGAGATCCCCTTGTGTGGAGAGGGATGTCATTTCTCTCTTGAATTGTATGTATAGTAAATTATGTTGTAAAGCACTGAAATTAAAAACACTGTCCACACAAAGATATGCAAATGTCCATTTGGCAGTTCAGTAGATCCAGATATTCATGCAATTTAAAATTTGGCAGATGGATTTCTTTAATAGATGCATTTATGTACTGTATGTGATTGTGCAAATTCATGACCCCTTGAAGTGATGTGAGGTTAGGTACAGGGCACTAGACCTGTATCTCACATGGCCAAGTGAAAAGAGTGATTAGTACCCTTCCTCAATAAGACATGATGGAGATTGAACCCTGGACTCTACTGATACGCAAAACATATTAGTCTTAGTCTTACCACTAAATGTTGTTTTTATGATACAGTATATTTGGGTCTATAAAAAGACTTGGATTGGAGGGGCATTTGTGTGAATGAAAAATTACCTTTAGCAAAAGAATTGTTGTGTACAGTATATACAAATCTGCAATAGCAAATCAAAATTCTCCTGCACAGGCATTGAACACTGATGGAAAAAAATACTAACTTACATTATTCCAGGTCTGCTAATAACAGAAAAGGAATAACACCAAATTCCTCTACCATTCACAACCTTAACCAAACTAACCATGCAGAAAACTCTACTTTGATAAATTAGCAGAATCAAATTGAGCTGTATATAAGAAAGGCAGCAATGAAGCTTCCCTGCTCCATGTAATTTCACCCATCTGTTAGCAAAAGGAAAGTTAAGGATCTGCTATTCCCAGGAGGAGACTTACCCAGTTGGACATCAATAACATTTGGCTGGTTTTCCAGGGGGAACAGCACTTTAGGAGGCTTGACTGTGAGGAGAGCTGGAAGACAAAACAGAGATGTACTGGAGAGAACAGACAGGCCGAAATGCAAAAGAGTTGGAAGTTCATAATTTTAACAACATTGGTAATTATGCTGTTTTTCATCCTACGGTATGTAAAATGAACAGCAGGTGGAACTTCTGCAAATACACCACACTTCAAGTCTATTTCTCTGATTGTCGTCTAAACAGCTCGTAATTTCTAATTATTCTGATGCACATTACCAAGCAGCATCTGGGGAAGTCTTCTGATTATTTACTTGGTTTTCAAAGTAAATAAAGACACGTTGAGCAAGAAATAATAATGAAAATGAAAATAACGTTTGCAGTGTAACATTTTACAGCTGGTTTTTGTGTAGTTGTTCCTATAATTTTAGATGTTAATGTAGATCGAAAACTACTCCAATGTCAACATAGTAAAACCACAGGGTTCGGCCTGGATGTCTCTTCAACATAAGCAGACAAGAAAGAAGGATTACAGCATTATTATTTCCTGCTTCTTCTGCTTATTGTTTTTATTGATTCACACATATGAAATCCCAATCACACATGTTCACTCTCAAAACAAAAAAGACATTCTATACAGAAGAGTGTGTCTGTAATTTAGCTTGTCAATCACACAGTCCATAATGGAGAATGTCTAATGGTCTCTTAAGGGGATGTTGCAAATGAGTAACACTTTAGAACTCATGAGTGTTCTATTATCAACTATGTTAATAAAGCGTAGGATAAAGGACTCATCATGCCAAAGGCCACTTTGAGTAAAAAAAACAACATTTTTGATTTATAAAAAGCTCGTCAGATTAATTACTAAAACTAAACACTGTTACAATATGTCCTGCTTTCAGCAGATTATAACAAATAAACCCGACTATACATTATAGCTTCTTGTGTAGTTATTCTGTGCCACAAAATATAAGGAAAGGGAATGATAAACATTTACTTGATGTCTTGGTTCAGCTTAGTTTTGAAAAATTCAAGAGTAAATTACATGGGTAAAATATATCTGGATTTTACACATGTTGCTCTGCTGTTTCAAAAGGTCATAGAGCTTAGAATTCAAGGCAATAACATGACAATTTGTGTCCAAGCCTATCTCAGAAATCAAAAATTGTGCAATTATAGTACAGTATATTTACAGTATCTAACTCCATGTAAAAATATAAAAACTAGTTCAACATTTTTCCTTTTATCCTTCACTTTTGTTTTCTAAAATTCCAGCCATTACTATGAGAAGTGGAGATTTTGAGAAGATCTACCTTTTAGATCGTAATCTTTAAACACATTGTCATCAATTGGAATGAATTAGTAACTAGATTTACTGTAGTACACCTTTTTATAATTGACTAAGTTTAACCTTTAATCATTGTTATTTAATCTTTTTGTTGTTGACAGATAACATAATATTGGTTTAGGGTTTAATGTTTTAAAGGTTTAAATGTATTTTAATTACAACTTTTGAACTTTTTGGCACAAATAAGTCTAAAATAGTTTGTAATTATGAACACAGTATTCTTGTTAGTTAGTGTCTAGTTTATGTTTGTGCATTTATTCTCTTTTTAAATTTGATATTTGATTGAATTAATGATTGTTGAAAACTGCTGAGTCAATTGTTTGAATGAGATGTTGCACTTATTTTCCCTGTACTGTAGGCATTTTTTGTTTGTTTGAATAAATTGAAGATCATGACGATGAGTCATAAACTGTTTTTTTTATTTTGGATGGCATGTTCTCTGTATTTTGTCATCCACTCCTCTACAAAAAAAACATTAGATCACAAAAATGTTGAACATTAAAATGAATTATGAATTCTTCTGTTTGAGGTTGGACTCATTAACCTTTTGGAGTTTTAAAATATATTTAAGGGGTACTTTGATTCAGTTTGGTATACTGTGAAGGCAGTCTCTGTAGATAAGATTCCCTGCCTTTTTGGAGTTTTTCCTAATACACATTACATTGAATAAAATAAACTAGTTGGTTTTGCTGACAACAGTCTTTATGAGAAACAGTTGGTTCCTTTAAAGAAACACACAACGCAGTCTTTAAGACAAGTACAGTATATTCTTTAATAATATTCAGATTCCTTATACATGTGCCATCATAGTAAATTATAAGTTATTCCTATGTACTCGTGTGGACAGGAGTAGAAAAGTGCAAATAAATATGCCGAATTCCAAATCCTTTGGCTGAATTGTGAAACCATTTCATAACTATATGGTTCTTCTTAAAAAGAGATACAGTCAGGTTCTCTAAGAGAAAGAAAAATATTCATCTTTGTGCTTCCATCTCTGCCTAAATTTAGTGTATCTTTAAAGTGTTAGTAAAGATGCATATAAAAATACTATTACCCTTCATTCACATAGGTATTTAATAAAATACAAATTTAAAATACATTTCTTATATTAAATAAAATGTATGTCATTGGTTTATCTTAGTAGAATTTAGATTTATCATGTATACAGTACGCCTTACTTTTTTGAGGCTTCTGAGACTTTGTTCATCCAAACAGCTTTAAAATCTCATTAGACACAAAAAGCAATTTATTATTCAGGTCTGCTTCAGATCATACCAAAATGTGAACACCTGTACCCATTTATCTCATTCTTGATTGCAAATGTTAAGAACCCATAAATAACTGTTGTCTGAAAAGAAAATGGGTTACCTAATGGGAATGTATATATTTAGTTATCATTATAGACAAAAAACAATAGCAGTTGCAATTAGGAGTTACAGTATACTTATTGTGCCTTCCAGTACATTTGTGATGACTCTTTAAAGATACATTTTTGTACACCCTATTGAAATATTTGCAATAAAAAAGAAAGAACGTAAAAACAAATGCAGTGCCCTATGACACTGAACTTTACAGCTTCAATGTTTTAATACAAAGCTGATCAGCTGCATTTAGATATGTAATCCAAGTGAAACCTCATTAAAATGGCCCATAGTGTACTGTACAAAATAACATGTAAATATGGGACGGACAGATTATGCAGTTACTGTAACTGTAGTACAGTAAGAAAACAATGAGTTAAGAATTTTATGGCAGTTAAATAACTTTAGAAGAACACTAAAACAAATCTAAAAGTCTACAGTAGGCAAGAGCTGATTTTACTATGGAAAAAGGCTATATACTGAACAGTACATATGTAACTGAAAGCTGAGACCTTAGAAACTGCTGAAAAAACAGTAAGAATGGAAATAATAATAAAACCTGGAGCACAGACAGTAGAGGGGAATTGTACCCTCTACACATCTAATTCCAGCGTATGTTACAACAAATCAGCAGCTCATAATGTTAAGCAATAGGTGGCTGTGTCATGCTTATTTAGATGCACACAGTTCTTTGGTGTTTTAATAAAAAATGGCTAAAACCCCTAAGCGTAACCTTCATTTCAAGGAGAGTGCGGAAATTGTACTTTATGAAAATTCTTATCTTTTGGCCCTGCTTAATTTTTTTCTTTTCATTGTATGAAAAATGCGGAGCTCAAGTGAAAGATGAAGCAGGGAGACTCCATCCATCTTGGGGGGACAGCTGGAGCTTTTGCATGCAAATGAAAGCTATCATTCTTGTCAACCTGGAGCCAAAGCACACGCCTGCCGTCCACAGCCACTTAATATTCCCACACCAATCAGACCACCCTTACAAAGTGGTAACAGTTTTTTTTTGGCGATGCATTTCATCTGAGCATTATGCTGTTGGAGAGTAATCTTCAGCTAACCACCTTGCATTTTTTTACATTGAAATTCTGTATTTCCTCCTTTATGAAGACTTTGGACACAAAGATCAGTTATCAAAATACTGTACTTGACTCTGTAATGTTATTCAACAATGTTTTCAAGTTAGGCTGATAAGCAACGATATTTACGGGTATGTTTAATAGGAATTCTTCACTTAAGGTGTTATGAAAGGTTATTTTGTTGATGAGGTAATGAGGTCAGTGAAGATCTTCATGTCATTTTCATGAAGATGGGCAGGATTTGAATACCTTGAAATATTGAATACAAAACCTCAACAGAATTTAGTCGTTATTCTAAATTAATTTAATGCTACCATAAAGGTATTAAAGGTAGTGTCTATGCTTTTTAACAACATTATATTACTAATATGCATTTTGCATTAAGATTTTTTAATAAAACTGCAGTAATTTAATTTTATGGAATACAGTAAGTTATATGTATTTAAGATAAAAAAAACATTTATTGTAACAATATGATTGCTACACCATAACCAAAAAGCTTTTTTGGTAAAATGGGACATTTTTATTGGTTTTATTGGTTTCTTGATAAACATATGGCATGATTCAGATTAATTCAGAATCATAGTTGCCACAAATGCTGGATTCTAAAAGTTGTGTAACTTTGTAACTGTATCACTGAATCTTATGTACAGTCAGAAATGTTAAAAACCATTTCCAACTTTTGTAAAGTTGGGGATTTTTTTTTGCAGATTTGAAGTAACCAAATAGTGTACTAGACCTAAACTGTATAAGTTTATAGTGGCTAAGCATGATTCATGCTTGTGTTTAAAACTTACTGCAACATTCCACCTGCACACACATGATAAATGTGTCTGAAATTAAAATATAGAGTACATCAAGTAGTGGACTTTTTTAAAAATTGAAATGGGAGCTCTGTGTCTTTGAGCTTAAGAGTGGAAACTTTTCATTACTGTGGAAACACAATTCAGGAATACAACTCATATTACTATGAAAATACATACAGTAGGAGTGAAATCTGTAGGTGTCTGTGGCAAAGATACTGTATGTAAAGAAGAGATATGAAAGAGCGGAAGAAATACTGTATTACCTGTATGTGTAATATAGCAATGCATGATAGAGAACCATAATTATTGTAGTTCTCAATTCATTAAACAGAGATTTGTGTGGTACAGTACAATAAGACCTGAAACCTACACTGATCTGAGAACCACATTCTTTCCATGTGGAAGTGGATATTAAAATAAAAAAGTGAGTCTTCTTTTTGTTTGACTAACCTTAG